TTCACCTTGAAAAATGTATATATACTACTCGAAGGCGTAGTATATTCGAGTAATATAACATAGAATTATATTGTATTAAACTAACTTTTTGTTTTTATTTCTCTTAACAAATATTAAACACATGTGTTTGGTAGACTCATGCGGTGAATTTAAGTGTTTTCTAATTAACTTATCTATTACAAAACCGCTGTTAAATTGAAGACAATTGCTTTTAGAGTCTCAAGTTTATTGTGTGTCTTGGAGACGCATTTCGTGGAGCATGTGACAGACGAGGTCGTCTGGATCAGGACTTTGACTCTGTGTTAATGAAGACGGACGACACGTCTCAATGAGTTCATTATTACAGTCATTCACACACACACACACCTCCACCGACCACACACACACACACACAACACACACACACACAACACACACCCAGTCTACATCATGACAGGAACCTTCCGTTTCCACTCCTCACTAACACGAAAGATATGAGAAAGTATTGTTCAGTTTCTTACTAAAAATAAAATGGTATTGATATTGACAACACAATATTATATATTGTTATCATAAATAAATATATATAATACAAACATAACTACTTCTTTATTACTTTGAAATATATTAAAAATTCAGACTCGCTGCTAAAAAAAAGACTAACGTCATCCTCGGGTGTAATGAGAAGTGTTTACTTCCAGTTATATAGTCATATTATACTGATTAGACCGTTATATGAAATAATTGATACACAATGTTAGTTATTCAGGTGTGTTGAAATAAATCCAATAGAAAACGGCGTTCCCATTTAGAGACTTTTAACCACAACATGACCCTAGTGCAGGTTAAAATAACTTTCTAATAATAAATATGGCATGAATCATCTCGTTAGGGATGTCACGGACCCGAGCTCATGAGTTTATTAGTTCACGTGAAGCTGTCAAAGTTCTTAGACTCGTTACATCCTTGTAATGGATAGGATTATAAGACTTACAAAACATGTCAGTTATGTTAGTGGAGTGACGAGTGGGACTCAATAGTTAACTTCGATTATTATAATTGCGACTCGATCTAGGCTGTGACTACGATAATTCTAATGTAAATATTAACAGTCATATGAAGAGTAGGAAACATATTTCACACAAGTTCAATGTGTTGTAAGGGTGAAGGTCTAAAAAAGATATTATTTTCTTGAAGGGAGTGTTACATTTGGTTCACTAGATACACGAAATATATTTACATAAAAAATACTTATACCTGCGTCATTTCCAATAAAATAATAAATAAAAGTTGAAACATAACTTATACAGAGACATCTGAATACTGGCAGGGTCAAAAAAAACAAGATCAAACCAAAAAGTTTTAGTTACTTATTAGACTAGAATTTTATATCAAAGAGTAATGATGTAAAAACTAAAGGATTTTCCTTGAACAGATATATTCCAATATTGTTTTTTTTTGTTAATTTTATGTATTTAAATTCTTAATACTAACAGACGTTCTATTTTATTATAGTAGTAATTAATAATTGAATATAAACGTTGAACACTTGGTAAGTGTAATGTAATCAGTCTTTACTATACGAGTATGTAACAGAGTCAACATGTGCCCGTCCAACTTGTGATGTTTATGTACGAGTACGTTTCTTATTATACATATATCCAATATGTGAAGTTAAAAATGATAAACTAGTTAAAATTATTACTTTACGGTCTCTTAATGTGAATGATTTATTGAAAAATGTATAAAAATATAACGGATTAGAAAATATTAATATAAAAAATAAAAAATAATAATTACTCGAACCTATTTGGAAAGAACAGCAATCGATACAATAAGGAGTTAACGAGACTGTTTTATTTTAAAAATTTTATTAATTTCAATCAAATATTATTTCTTTGTATCGAAGTAGCGGTCTGAGTTAGTTTTACTTATAAGTCTTTACAATGAAGATAACTAAGTCTATCTACAGACATTGTTTGTATGTCATATAATTGAATATATATTTGTTAGATCCATGTCATACAGTGTACCGTCTTTCCTAGACGTGGTGTATTGTTTTAGTAATCGTATGAATCATATATAAATGGTGTTTCATTCGCTCTTCTCACATCTCATCTACATTTAAATTGAATCGAAGCGGTGTGACGAATACCGGTGTGGTCTGGTGTGACGTGACGTGACGTGACGTGACGTGACGTGTGTATTCTTCATGTCACGTCACGTCACGTAAGCATCGCCGGTAATCAAGGTATGACGTGTGACGTGGCTGTAACGCCTCCCTCCTAATGTAAAGTTCTCTCAGGAGAGTAAACATCTTAAAGCATGTATCAGTCTCACAACTTTAACATCGTCGTCGTAATAAGCCAGCGGTTTGTGTTATTACAATACTTTTAAATTAATTCCTACATAAGCATCTTACGCTTGTTTTAAACTCTGAGGAACGTACGAGTATGTGGTGTTTAATAAATTGCTCGAGACTTGTCAATGTTTTAAAATTTAAGTAACATTTGTCTTCATATTTTTGTCTGTTTTCGTTCTGGTCTTCTCTGAGACGAATGTTCTGTGCTTATTAGACTTGTATTGAATATATTCTCATATGAGACAGTAAATCGATCTCTACTTTCATTCCACAACATGTACTGACTATAATAAAATATTTTATGTTTGAACACATTCATTGAATTTCTTTCATTATCTTTTCCTTGTCATGAACTATAAGTTAACTTCAACTGTAAGGTATTATTCGTTGTATTATGTATTATTATATGAATAATCACTTTTTTCAGTAACAATAACCGTACTCAGAACTACCACCAAATTTTCTTCTTTACTTTAAATTTTAATCTATATTCAACTTCAAACATATTCAATTTAATATTAAAATTATTCATTGTACACTCTCTGCTAACTAATGATCGTCAGTTCAAATAAAACCTGCTCGTCATGTTTCAGTGACATTTTTAAAGCAATCATATTAAAAATGTCCTTTCATTAATCTCGCTTGTACGAGTTCCAGAAGGCGGGATGTTAAAATGAAATTGAAGTGTCAAATATACATTTAGTTGAACTTTAAATAAATACATTACATTGATAAAATAAAAATATACTTTAGAGGAGTCTACTGTCAGTAGTTGTAGGTAGCCAGAGTATATGTTTATTACTCGTTTCAACTGGTCTGCTCGTGGTGTGTCTTTTTCCTCAAGTACATCGGTTACTGTATCCTTTAGGTCATTATTTCAGTCTCTCACCGTCACCCTGAGGTCCACAAATCTCCGTCTCCGGACCCTCTCACAGTTTACGAGCTCTTTGTGTGTCTCTCGGCTCATCCCTTGAAACTAATCAAGTTTAATCGTATAATGTAAGTAACTAGTCGCGACCATCCTCAGATGAGCTTGTATTCCACAATGATTACTATATCTTTAAATATAACATATCAAATATATTGAGAAACGATTATTGTGATAGTATTCATACACACACACACACACACACACACACACACGTACAACACGGACCAACTATGGTTAAAGTTAAGATTTGTCTGTTTTGTCGAAACCAGTTCGTTTAGTTTTTTATAAGTTTAAAAGTCTTTCGTTTATTAACTCAGTAGTTAATAGTCATTGGTTGCCTGAGCCTCATAGTTACTATCGTAACACCGTCTGTTCACGCTACGATCGTCTACGCGTCGTAGCTGTATCGTAGCTCGTGTCTCGTAGCACGCTACGTTCCTCAAGGCCACCCCTGTAAGGTTATTTCGTAGCTGAATATAAAGCCTCTAATTACACATTTTAAACTATATTTTAACATAATTTCCTCGCCAACGTGATTTCTGTGTCACTTCCTTATTAAACCCGTGAAAATAAAAATTTCCGCTATTTAATTTTAACGAACATTTATTGGTTTAAAATATAAACAGGAATGTTTTTTTCAAATTAAGTATTTGTTGATATGTCGAGCAAAATTGACATCAGATGAAGAAGAAGTAATATATGTAGTTCACAAGTGTCGTGAACCTTATCCATAAACTAACAAGGTACACATACATTATTGTATTGAACCAAATTATAATATATCCTCGTAAATGAAACTTCACTTAAAAACAAAAACCATGAGCCAGTTTTGAGAAAAAATACTGTTATTTGTTCTTTACATAATAAAAATAGATTCTTCGACTTCTAAGACTAAATTTAAATTAATATAATCTTACAGAACTAATTGGTTATTTTATTACATTTCATTTATATATATATATATATATATATATATATAGTATATATATATATATATATATATATATATATATATATATATATATATATATATATATATATATATATATATATATATATATATGTATAAAATAAAAACTTTTCTTGTTATTCTAATATTTATCCTCGGTCCGAAAAAAAGATATTAACAAATACCAAGGATTATTTTATAGAAAACATAAACGGTTTATTTTGACTAAAGATTGGAGTGGTTAATATTTTTAATATTTGAGGTACTTACTTACCAGCAACAGACATAAGATTATGTTTGTATTATAATTGAAAACTAAAGATAGTTGTCTTTCAAACATTTATATGTAATACTTATAACGTTATTACATTATTAATATAATAAAAACGTTGTTGTCAATAAATTACCAACAAAAAAAACTGCGTTAAGTAGACTACAATTGTTAAAATTTTCAAAAACTTAATTAGAGTCTATTTTTCCATATGACAAATATTTCGGTTATAAAAATATGTATTGTCTATCTTTTATTTTATAAAATACACTAAAATTATTCCAAAGGTTTCTCGATCAGTTCGAGAAAGTGAGTTGGTACAGACGATTCCTTTAAATGTTTATATAGTATGTATATAAAAACACTTTAAACTGTTTGTAAAACTGTTTAAAACAATGTAACCGTGGCGGTACTTGCTACACGTGCATTATTTTAAAACTTTCCCAACCAACAGTGACCATCACGAAGCTCGTCAGTATATAGTATATTGTATTAACATACACAATGTTTGTTCACAGATGGGCTTGAGGGCGCGTGCGAGGTAGGATGGTGGTGGATGGGGTCTCGGGCCACTGGGGTCATGAACAGCTCGGCGCCTCTCGAGTGCGACACGGACCTCGACGTCTCCCCCTCCGACAAACTGTTCCGCTTCGTGGTCCATGGAGTCCTCCTCAACGCGATCGGTGCGGGCGGCCTGCTCGGGAACGGCCTCTCTGTGTTGGTCCTCTCCCGGCCTCAGATGAGATCCTCCATCAACTGCCTGCTGGTGGGGCTGGCCGCCTGCGACACCGTCCTCATCTTCACGTCGATAATGCTCTTCGGCCTCACCGCGATATATCCGTACACCGGCGCCATGCGGTACTACTACTACCACGTGTCCCCTCACCTCACCCCCTACGCATATCCAATAGCGAACGTCGCTCAAACGATGTCGGTGTACCTGACTCTGATCGTGACCATAGAGCGGTGGGTGGCCGTGTGTCATCCTTTCCGAGCGAAGGCTCTCTGCACGTCCTCTCGCGCTCGCTGGTACGTGTTGGGGACGGCGACCTTCGCCTTCGCCTACAACGCCCCAAAGTTTTTCGAGGCCGAGGTTATAGCGGAAGGCAATCCGGAGAGCGGCGAGGTCATATACTGCGTGAGAGCAGACATGAACTTCCGCACCGATAGGTATGTGGTGGTTTATATACATTGGATGTATCTAGTAGTCATGTACATAGTACCTTTCTCTGCCCTCGCGGCTCTAAACGCCTGCATCGTGAAACAAGTCCGCCGGGCCCAGGCGGAGCGCGCTCGCCTGTCTCGTGTCCAGCGTCGGGAGCTCGGGCTGGCCACGATGCTGCTCGTGGTGGTGCTGGTGTTCTTCCTCTGTAACCTGTTACCGCTCGTTACGAATGCTTTTGAAGTATTTCTCGGAGACGCCTTCGAAAACCTGGATCCGCTGGTTAAAACGAGCAACCTTCTAGTTACCATAAACAGTAGCGTCAACTTTGTGATATACGTTATATTCGGCGAGAAATTTAAACGGGTGTTTCTAAAAATATTTTGCGCGGGAAGAATACGTCCGCGAGGTTTGAGAGATTCTCCGGAACACACTCGAGACGATTCCTTTGGGTCGTGTGGGGAGCGGATGTCGCTGCGTCTGGCTCGGAACGGGACATTAAGGCGTTCAGACCTCCGCAGTACACGCACGGGTCCAGGTCGACAGAGGCGAGCAGCTTCACCAGCACCCACCGTCTACTACCCGGCGCCGACACCCTCCACCGACATCTCGATCGCCTCCACGGACGCGCCGCCCTCCGTGTTGAGATGGAACGGTAACTCCAGACACCACTTCTGATTCACCTTCGCAGATGATTCTCTTTGCTCACTCTGAACGCTTAAACGAGTCGACTACCTCTTATAGTAATATATGTACCTGTGGGATGACGATACATTGACGCTCGCATCGAAAACTCAACGTATTTCTAAAAAAGACAATCTTATAAAGATTATATTAAACTAGGTCTTCTGATTTAAATCTCGTAGATATAATAATTGTTAAATATAAATAAAAACATATTCTATTTATTTCTAAAGCAGGAAATACTTAAATCGATGTATAAAGTGTAAGTATTCTAAATAATAAATATATGTTTAATACGTCTGATGTCCTTCATGAAACCCGATTCTATGTCCTAGGAACAATAAAGTGAACCGTGATGTATAAAATGCATGTACCCATATTATTTAGTTAATAAAGATTATTTCAAATAGTATTGTTTGTCATTTAAAAAGGTATATTACGAAAAACCCAAAAATAAATACACCAGATGAATATTTCGAAATTGTCATTATAGAGACTATATTTTTGTTTTATTTCCATCACATTCTATTAAAATTTATCCCTAAAAACCCGTTGTACTGACCTCAATGCAGTTATTAGTATACTTTTGTTCAATTTGTTATATTCAAAAGTATGAAGCAAACGTTATCTTTTGAAACAGTGGTCTATTAAATAAATAAACATTGATATCAGTTCCGGGATGAAGGAAAAAGATAATCAGTTCAGGAGGCGGTGTCATGTCCTGGAGTGAAACACAACCATCCTGAACAATCCGTGTTGCTGGAACGAAGTGAAAGTTAGGTGAAGCATGCTCCGTCGTACCCTACACCTTAGACGAAACTGACAAAATGATCTCATACTAGAGTTGACTCATAAATAAATCTATCAAAAACACAACAAATTATGTTTATAACAAAAATTGTCAATTTGTCCTTATTGCGACTGGTAGTGCTGTTTCGTTTCATTTAGTTATAAATTGATAACCATAAACTGCTATAAATCTCATGTACAAATTAACATTTTGATACATAAACAACATACATATTATATCTCAGCATTAATTCTGTTCATCTAATGTGTTCATAGTAGCATACAATAGAAAACAACTTCTAAGAGATGAGTGTTATGGGACCAGCGTTAAGTTACACAACCGATTAACAGCTGTGGAACTTTGAGAGCAACAAAATTAAGATTTCACCCTTTTGATATAATTTGAAACGACAAACAAGAAATTATAATAATGTGACGAACAAAAAGCTAATTAACAAGTTCATTATAACAGCGAGGCTTAAACGTTCGCTTACAGTGGGATTTAGAATTAAATAAAAATATATGTATAAACTTTACTAAGAAATTTTATGTGAAAAAATTTTATTTTCAAATCAATAATAATGTATTAAAATTTAAAGGTGGAACTTAGCAAACATCTCACCGAGTTAAGAAGACTCGAGATCATTACTATATATGTATTAGGATGTTTCTTACCAAAAACGATAATCTGTAATAACTAACTAGTGACAGTGTCCAGGATGTGTTTATTTACTTATTAATTATTATTAGAAGTAGTCAGGTAAGGTAGTATAGTAGCCTGTACACTTACAGACATATGGAATATTTGACACACAAAAATTATAACTAACAAGCTTGTTAGCCAACAAGCGGGTATCAATTCAAAGTATTTCAAATGTTCATATTTATATTGTAATTAAATAATAAATTATTTTATACAACAATCCCTGTTCTCTTTGTTTTTTCAAATTGTAAATATATTTAAATCTTCGCCACTATTAATATAAACTCATGTGACAACATCTCTGAGCATTAAGATGCTGTGATAAAACGTTTTTCAATTCATACATCTTTTATCTTTTCCCACTGTTTTCTATTAGTAATATTTTCATTTAATTTTTAATTCTTCTTGAACTGTATTACCTTTACCTATCACAATACCATATAAGTCTATTTATTTTAAATCATTTACTAAAGATTTATTATTTAATACTTTAGTAAATGTTACCTTACATAATTCAACAAATTTAAAATTGTCCTCCTCAAAATGAAAAATGAATCATTGAACAGACTCAGAACAGGAGCTCAACTGGTGGGGAAGTTGTTGTGTGACACATTTAAAGTACAACTATTAATAATTAAAGGTTACTAAAACAAAATAATTTCAGATATATTTCCATTTATTCTAAGTTATGTACGTCTCAGTTATTAACTGGTAATTCTTTTTTTTCTTCATAATATTCTAGTATACAATATACATATATCGGTCGTGATCTGTCACGATGGACCCAACTCAACTGTGATATAAGTTTTATCCGTTATTTATTTGGGTGAGTGCGGCTCCGAAAATTTGTCAGCCTTGAACTAATTACTGTCTTTGATAAAATTTAGTGTTTAGTTTGATTTTTATATTACATTTTGATTGTTAATATATACTATTACCATTTTTTATAAATTACGAAGGAGACACATAAATTAACACGTAACTTATACGTAATATTTAACTATTAAAGTTATAAATGTTTTCTCCCTCGCTCTGTTCCTTGGCTCTGTCTACGTACAAGTAAGTTAATTTATGTCTAGAAGGCTCGAAGTACAGGCAGTTACTTTATTATATGCTATTTATGATCACCTTCTTAAGACTTGGCCAGTACTATGGGAAGGAGGTGAATCAATTCCTACTCCTTAGTAACATTATAAAAATTTAAACTATTTGAAATAATTTAAAAAGATTTCATATTTTATTTGGACCAATATATAGCATTGTTGTCTTTAATATTGTACAAAAAACTTATAACTAACAATTTTAAACTCTATTTATAGAATTTTGTATCCTTATATTTAAAATACATATAGACGAGTATGTGTTTCGTGTGTTTGTATGAATATTTCGAGTCTACATATTGTGTTTGGGGTTCACAAATGTTTCATTACATATAAAACATACTCGATGCTAATTTTAACAATATAGCATGTGAACCAAACGAAGTTTACTATAAGACTATAAGGAGTTTACTATAAAAGCAATAAGAAAATATTCGAAAGCAAATATACATTATTTACATAAAACCTTCTTCTTGAAAATTGATTCGTGTAAATAGTTCATCTGAGGAGGTTGTTTAATATTACACTAAGATACTAAATGAACGTCATGTAATGGAACGTCTCGCTGTCACTACACTCACTCACTCAGTGTCAACACACATCAAAGTAAATCAGTTTAATATAATCCACATCTCCTCAGTCAGATGTATCAATAAAGCATCGCAGAGCTCTCACTGAGATCCAACGCTTGTTGATTTTGTAGTCAATTTATAATATGACTAATTGAAATGATGTTACAATGACACACATACAAGTTGTGTAATGTTTCTTTATTATATAACCACTTGTTTCTTTAACAGAATAGTTGTTGTATTTAAGTTTGAGGAACTTAAACAAAAGGGATCGAGTTTGAAGGAAAACTCTTAGTTTGTTTCACAACACACATCCTTCCTGGGTAACGAACCGAAAACGTTCAACGTTCCTGTTTATATTTAACTGTTCTTCTAGAAACATATACTCTTAATTAACAACCACAACCAACACCTTCAACACTCCGGACAGAGTCACATTGTGTACTTTGAAATAATAGATCATTAATAATAAACTTATTATAGCATTGATTTAATTTCATAAAACTTCATGTAACAATCAGTTGTGAACATCGACATGATGACGTCATTTAAATCTACTCACTGAAGAGACTACTGGTCTATAACTACTGATTAAAACTCTAATAGAGAGACTGTAACTGATACAAACAATGTAGAGCAGAACTATACATCTTCATCTTAACCTTCACATTAAGGTCCAGAATACATAATACATCCAATACAAATCATTTATTTCAATATACAAATACCACAGAACACCTAGAAGAATTAGTAAAAATAGTAAAACTATTATATATATCCAGTTAGAGGTGGCGCCGACACGAACCTTGTGAACGAATTAAACGTTACCCTTACTGATAGACCGGCTTTATGAGACACGCGATACATGACTCACGGAAAAAAATGGGACAACGTTATGTGACTTTTGTTTAAACTTTCGAATTATTTACATTTACCATTAAGATTATAAAGTGAATCTGAACACTGAGAAGCTGTTACGGAAGACGTGCTTTGTTTAACACATACATACATACTTCTCACTCGTACCCAACAACACAAATAAGGTCTACATCAAATGTAAATATGTGAAAACTTACTAGTACTGCTTCTTGTGTATTAGCTACATCTAAGGTGAGCCACAAGCGGAGACGCAGCGATATTAATATGAGTTATTCACAATATATTTATATATTGATTCTTTATAACGAAGCAGATTTTATTTTATGTTGACGCTAACTGTTATATGTAGTACCGCTGGCCACGTTTTATAGACAATAAAACAGGACCGACCCTAACATTATGACGCGTCATAACATATACATATATAACTATTATAATAGTCTTAGTTTTTTATTCTTTTTATAGGAACACGAACATATTTATTATTTGATCAATATAAATCCTAAGATAGTGTAAACAAAATTAAACGTTGTGGGAGTATGAGGAAACGGAGTGAGTGATATAGAAAGTCACTTATCAATAGTAGGGGATAGGTTCTAATGTATTATAAATTATAATCATCTGATATTCATTTTCATAAAAATTCAAAAATCAGTTTAAAAATTGTAATTTGGTTATCGTTGTAGGGAATATATAATAAGATTAAACTGCGGTTTTACTTTTAAGTTACACGACATGAAGTTGAAGTTACTAATAAAGAAAAGTTAAATGAACACTGGCTGTTTCTTTACTTATGTATATATATGTAAGCTAACAATGAACAATCCTACGTGAAATATTTTGATGCGGGTAAACCTTTTTCCTATCAAAGTTATTTTGACACCGAATGACAAAATATAAAAACAGTTTTGTTAGAAATCGATTAAAATGTAAACTGCATGGAGGTTTACA